GTTTTTCTTTCTGTAGTTGATTTCTAGTTTCATGCCCCTGTGGTTGGAAAAGATGCTTAGTATAATTTTTATCCTGTTAAATTTGCTTAGGCTTGTTCTGTGACAAATTAGGTGGTCTATCCTGGAGAATGTTCCATGTGCACTTGAAAATAATGCATATTCTGCTTTTTTTGGATGTAGTGTCTTGTTGAGTTCAATTAAGTCCAACTGGTCTGTTGTGCCATTTAGGATCTCTACTGCCTTAATGATTTTCTGTCTGGATGATCTGCCCATTGATGTCAGTGGGTATTAAAGTCTTCTGCTATTATTGTATTATTGCCAGTTTCTCTCTTTATGTCTGTTTGTGTTTGTTTTATGTATTTAGGTGCTCCTATATTAGGTATGTGTATGCTAATGAGTATAATACTCTCTTCTTCTGTTGATTGCTTTATCATTATATAATGCCCTTCTTTGTCTTTCTTTATGGCTTTTGTCTTAAAGTTTGTTTTGTCTGATATGAGTACTATTACTACTGCTTTCTTGTCATTTCCATTTACTTGAAATACCTTTTTCTATGCCTTGACTTTCAGGCTGTATGTGTCTTTAATGTGAAGTGAGTCTCCTGTAGGTGGCTTATTGCAAATTCTTGTTTCTTTATCTATCAGCCACTGGATGTCTTTTGATTGTAGCATTTAGTTCACTGACATTTAAAGTAATTATTCATAGGTATGAACCTATTGCCATTTTAAGCCTTATTTTCTAGTTGTTTTTGTGGTTCTTCTATGTTTGAGTTTCTTTCTTGTTTTGGGGGGGGTTTTTTTTTTGGTTTTTGTGAATCTTTTGTATGATTTTAATTTGTGGTTACCACGGGTTCATATATGTTAACCCATAACAGTATCTACTTGGTTTAAACTGATAGTCTTTCAAGTTCAGTCACATTCTGAAAGTTCTGCATTTTTATACTCCGCTCCGTCACATTTTGTGATTTTAATGTCCCAGTTTACATCTTTGTGTTCATCCGTTTATTGTTTATTATAAGCATAATCATTTTTATAATTTTTTTCTTCTTCAATCTATATATGGCTAATTTAAGTGATTTTCAGCCCTTACTATATATTTGCCTTTCCTGTTGTGATTTTCCCTTTCCCTTTTCTTGCTTTTTTCCACTTAGAGAAGACCTTTCAATATTTCTCTTAGGGTAGACTTAGTAGTGCTGAATTCTTTTAGTTTCTGCTTGTCTAATAAATTCTTTATCTCTCCTTCTATTCGAAATGATAACCTTACTGGTAGAGTACCTAGGTTACAGGCTTTTCCCTTTCAGGACTTTGAATATATCTTGCCACTCCCTTCTGGCCTGCAAAGTTTCTTCAGAGAAATCAACTGATAGCCTTATGGTTCCCTTGTAAATGTCTCTTTGTTTTTCTCTTGCTGCTTTTAGACTTCTCTCTTTATCTTTTAACTCTTACCATTTCAATTATGATATGTCTTGGTGTGGGTCTGTTAGGGTTCCTTTTGTTTGGGACCCTCTGTGCTTCCTGTACCTGGATATCTGTTTCCTTCTTCAGGTTGGGGAAGTTTTCAGTCATAATTTCTTCAAATACATTTTTAATTGCCTTCTCTCTCTCTTCTCCTTCTGGAACCCCTATTATGTGTAGGTTGGTAAATTTTATATTATCCGATAGATCTTGTATGTTGTTTCATTTTTTTCATTTGTTTTTCTGTCTGCTGTCTATGATTGTCTTATTTCCATTATCTTGTCTTCCAGATCATTTACTTGCTTTCTGTATCATTTAGATGGCTATTCACTACTTCTAGATTGTTTTTTTTAATCTCAGAAATTGAATTATCTATTTTTGATTGCTTCATCTTTATAGTTTCTAGTTCCTTGTTAACAGAGAACTTTGTTTCTATAGATAATCTTCCTTAATTCAGTTAACATGTTTATTACCGTTTTGAATTCAGGGTCTGAATTCAGACTACACACTGTAATCTGTGTGTGTCCAGTGTCTTTGGTGTTAGAGCTGGTTTTGATATGGACACCAGTCACATCTTTTTCAGGGTGTGCTGACCACTGTCACCTTTGTAGGGGGTGTGGTTGGTGTTGGAGGGTCTAAAGTCTGTTCAGGGTGTGAGCAGGACTTCCTCTTTGTTCTGTGGCTGTTGCCACCCTATCAGGGGTGGGATCTGCTCCCCAATTTTTGGAGTAGAAGCCCTGATGGTCAGGCTCAATCAGACTCTGTTCCTCATGAGTATGTTTCCTGCCCTAAAGAGAATGATTACAGAAACAAGTGAGACTCATACACTCAAATTGGACTGATGTGCTGCTTCTGTATGCATGTACAGCTTCACTGAAATGCAGCCCGAGGTTGTGTCCTTTCCCCTGTTGTGTTTGTCCCCATATCTAGTGCAAGGCAGTAGTTTGGGGTAGGTGGGGCCAGAGCATCCCCTAGGCTGGTGCTGGGAGTTGGGGTGTTGTGGTTGCAGGAGTTGAGGTGGCAGAGATATGGGCTGCCTCTATGGCATTCTTCCAGGACCTGTCTGTCCACATCCAGGACTAAGCTGTGGCATGGAGTGAGTGGGGCCAGAGTGCTTACTGGTATGGGAGATAAAAGCCAGTGTGCTCCTGTGGTGCCGCCCAAGGGAGTGCTGACAGTGGCTGCCACCACCCCACCCAGATCCCACCCCAGGCTTCTCCATGTAGGTAGACTGTTTTCCCAGGGTCCAGCTGGTACAGATCTCGTGCCAAGCTGTGATATGGAGTGATTTGGGCTGAGATTTTTACTCCGTTTGGATTAAGGAGTGTAGCAAGGTGAAAGCTGCAAGTGCAAAGCCCTCTCTGTCCTGATTGTGGGCAAGCCAGCACCCATATACTCTTCATGAGTAGATTCTAGGCTTTGCCAGCCTTTCGGTCTGTCCCACTGGTTCTCCCAACTGCTAAGGGGGCCTGTCTCCTCTGTGTAGGACCCTGGATGCCCAGTCTGCGGCTCAACCCGCTTGCTCCCTAGGGCGAGGAACCATCCATGCTAACCTTCTCTTCATTTCAGATCCCTATTAGGGGTAGAGGTCCTGACCTTATGCCTTTTTCTATCCTACTCAGCTATGTGGAAATCCTTCTTGCAGCTTTTGTTGTATAGGAGTTCTTTTTTCAGTTTCTAGTTAGATTTCCATGAGAATTATTCCACATGTGTATGCATTTTTGATGTATTTGTTGGGGGAGATGAGTTCAACATCCTCCTACTCTGTCATCTTGAACTCTCTCATTTTTTTCTTTATGAGTCTGGCTAAAGATTTATCAATTTTATTTATCTTTTCAAAGAACCAGGTCTTAGTTTCATTGGTCTTTTCTATTTTTTGTTTTGGTCTCTGTTTCATTTATTTCTACTCTGATCTTTATGATTTTTTCCTTCTATTAACTTTGGATTTCATTTGTTTTTCTTTTCCTAGTTCCTTTGGGTGTAAGGTTAGGTTGTTAGCTTGAGACTTCTCTTGTTTTCTTAGGTAAGCTTGTATCACTTGTAACAAAGTTCCCTTTTAGAACTGCTCTTTCTGTGTCCCATAGATTTCAGATTGTTGTGCTTTTAAAAAAATTTTTTTATTGAAGTGTAGTTGATTTACAATTTGAGTTTCAGGTTTATAGCAAAATGATTCAGTTGTACATATGCATACCTTTTTTTCTTTTTTTGGATTCTTTTCCATTATGTTATTTCAAAAAATCGAATATAGTTCCCTGTGCTATAGAATAGGTCATTGTTGTTTGTCTATTTTATATGTAGTAATGTGTGTCTGTTAATCCCCTAATTTATCCCTCCTCACCCTTTCCACTTTGGTAACTATAGTTTGTTTTCTATGTCTGTGAGTCTGTTTTTGGTTTGTGAACAGAATTTGTATCATTTTTTTTTTAGATTCCACAAATAAGTGATATTACATGATATTTGTCTTTCTCTGTCTGACTTACTTCACTAAATATGATAATGTCTAGGTCCATCCATGTTGCTTCAAATGGCATAATTTCATTCTTTTTTATGGCTGAGTAACATTCCATTGTGTATGTATATAGATATATAGATATATACATCTCACATCTTTATCCAATCATCTATTGATGGACATTTAAGTTGTTTCCATGAGATCATTGTGCTTTTCTTTTCATTGTCTCCAGATATTATTTTATTTCCTTTTTGATTTCTTCAATGACCCTTCTTCATTGCTTGTTTAGTAGCATTTTGTTTAGCCTCTGCATGTTTGTGTTTTTTGCAGTTTTTTTCTGTTATAGTTGATTTCTAGTCTCATAACGTTGCGTTTGGAAAAGATGCTTGATATGATTTCCATTTTCTTAAATTTACCAAGGCTTGTTTTTTGACCAGGCATGTTCTCTGTTTTGGGGAATGTTCCATGTGCATTTGAAAATAAATATTCTGCTGCTTTGGGATGGAACTGGCTATGTGTATCTGTTAAGCCCATCTGTTTTAATGTGTCATTTAAGACCAGTGTTTCCTTTCTGATTTTATGCCTGGATGATCTGCATTGATGTGTAACATTACAGTCCCTGACTATTATTGTATTACCATTAATTCTCCCTTTTTGTCTGTTAATATTTACTTTATGTATTTAAGTGCTTCTATGTTGGGTGCATGGATATTTGCAATTGATATCTCTTCTTGTTTGATCCCTTTATCATCATGTAATGTCCTTCTTTGTCTCTAACTACAGTCTTTGTTTTAAAGTCTTTTTTGAGTAAGTAGTGCTACCCAAGCTTTCTTTTCATTTCCATTTGTATGGAATACCTTTTTCCAGTCCCTTACTTTCAGTCTGTGTGTGTCCTTAGAGCTGAAGTAAGTCTCTTGTAGGCAACATATATAGAGGTTGGTTTGAGTAAACTTCTCCATGTGAGAAGTATTTCATAAGGTTTTTTTCAATTTTATAGGAAAATTATCAAATGTTCAGTGATAGAAGGCATATATTGCTCACGGAGTTTGAGTCCCATGATGATACTAATTCTAACAATTTTTCTTTGCCTTTAGCCATTTCTTCAGAGCATCATTTTCCTTTTTGTTATAAGGTGTCTGGAAATGAAGTACGGAAAAGAAACAATGAGGAAAGATCCAGTTTTCAGGTTGGGTGAACATTAACATCTGAATATAATCCAAATATTTAATGTTTAAGTCAGGACATTGAACATTAGTTTATTTGAATGCATTTACTATCCAACTCTTAGCTAGGTTCATTAGGCAGTGTTATTCTGGGAAAAAAAAACCACAGAAAGAAAACAAAAAATCAGGATTAAATTGAATGCAGTTTCTAAGTCATGGATCTTAACTGATTTTAGGCAAGTTGAGTATTTATCTTGTGCGTCTGTATATGCAGTGGTTAAGCATCAAAGCTTGTTTTTCTCCAGCTTATTGTAAGTATAGGCTTCTGAGTAGAAAACAGAATGATGAAAAATGGTTTCGCAGGGAAATGTTTTGACAAGGCAAGTGAAGCCAATTATGGTGATCATTTATGATGTAATGTAATGATTATCTGAATGGCAACAGGCTAAGAAGACTGATAAGTCTATATTTGAGAGAACCTGGAGAGCTGGTAGACAGATGAGATAAAAGATTTTAAAGAGAAGAAGTAGTCAGAGTATTTCATCGGATGCGGCTACATGAGCAGATTATTACTATCAAGGGAATGGTGTAGGTAATAAATTAATCATCTGTATTCTTTTAAAGCAGAGAACAGTAGTAATTGAGGATACATTCTCTTGGTATTTGTACAGTTAGATTTCATTTTAATGTTATTTTATTTGCTCTGTAGAATCTCTCCAAGAAGAAAGGAAAGTCATCCAAATCCAGAAGAGCCAGAAGAAGAAGATGAAGATGTTCAAGCTGAAAGAAGAAAAACAGAAAATGCACTCGCTCCTTCAAACTTGGATGAGGTGAAAACAAGCGACCAAACCCCTGATGATTTCTGAAGCTGGGGTAGCCTGTCCTGTAGAGTGAATAAGCTTGGTTTTCAGGGTGGAAATTTGCTTTTGCTTCTGTAGAACTTCCATTTGTAGGTCATATTCAGATCATTCTCTTTTGAAGTATTTGTCCTATCATCACTCTTTTAAGTTTCTCTTCTTCCATTTTTTGTGGGTTTTATTCTTCATTCATCAGTGCAACTCGAGAACTCTTGATATTTTTAGCAACTTTAACAAAATCCCACATCTTTTTCAAGAGTTTCAATTTCATTTTGCAATATATTGAAATTGTAATGTCAAGATCTGTAAATAGCATATGAAAAAGAGCAAGTGAATTTACATTGTATGAAAATCAATAAGAAATGGACTAGAAATGGAATTAATGCAAAAGGCAAGGTTAGCATAACACAAAGGGGATATATTTGATTAGGAATTAGTTTTATAGGGAGTTGATAAAGAAGTCTTTGTTTATAAACATACATTTGAGTATTTTATTTAAAAAGGGGGGCTGAATTATTATTGACAAAAATGTGGTTCAGGTCATACCCTGGGAAATGAAAGGTAGAACATGAGCACACAAAATATCTGACATTTAACAGGAAAATCATGCTTTCTTGTATTTTCCAGAAACCAGTAATAATGGCAAGCTGTTTACACAAGAAATATAAAGAGAAAAAGAAAAGTTGCTTTTCAAAAAGAAAGAAGACAGTAGCCATTCGGAATGTTTCCTTCTGTGTTAACAAAGGTTTGGATAATGTTTCCTCTATTAGAATATTCCTTATTCTCTAGTTTTAGGACTGTGAAAGGAATAATTTTCCATTCTTTGAGTCTGCTCATATCTCTTAATAAATGTGTAATTATAAAAATATCTGATGTCATCAGAGAAACGTTTTTATTTTAAAATCCTGTCTCAAATCAAATGGTAGGAAAACCAATCTTGGATCAGGAAGATCAAATTCTTGTGTAAATCCAAAGTCTTTCCATTAATGCTGTAATATAGAAAATTATGAAGGTGATGTTTGAAAATGTTACTTTGTTTCAAAAAAAATGTGATTTTAGGTTAGTGTACCTTTAAAGTACAAATATTGATAGTGAGCATTTTTCCAGGTGAAGTCTTGGGATTGCTGGGACATAATGGAGCTGGGAAAAGTACTTCTATTAAAATGATAACTGGAGAGACAGAACCAACCGCAGGAGTGGTAAGTGCATGTGAGAGAGCCAAACTCATGGCCAGAGGAAATTCCTTTTAAATATCAGTAGCCTCTTTATATTATTTCTATCAGCAAATCAAATGATTTAAAAAAAAAAGAAAAAATAGACGAAAGAATTTATAAAATGTCTCTTGCATGCTGAAAAAGATTGTAATTTTAAAGGGCCACTTTTATCTCCTTTAGAAGTAGGAGGAGAATGAGGGTGAAACCAGATGTGGATCTGACATTCATTGTTCTGTGCAGGTGATTTTCCATGGCAGCAGTACATCTCTGAAGCAGCAAGATGACATCCTCAAGTTTTTGGGGTACTGTCCACAGGAGAATGCCTTGTGGCCAGATCTTACGGTGAAAGAACACCTGGAGTTATTCGCAGCAGTGAAAGGACTGGGCAAAGAGGATGCGGCTCTTCATATTTCAGGGTACAGAGAGAAGCTTCCTTCACACTGTAGCTGTAGGAGGGAGGAATATAGAACTTACTCATTAAATATGGAAAGAATAGTATAAACAATGTCTTTCAGTTTCATGCAAATAAAATGATTGAAAACCTGAATAAGCCAAATCATAAGCCAGTTAGTATTTGTGACAGTGTTCATGATGCTTAATATACTGTTTACAGATCAGCAGTGCTAGGGTTCTCTAACGTGTTTTAGGTGGGGACATGTTCCTCGTGCATAATCAGAGTTGTTTCCTTCAGGTTGGTGGATGCACTCAAGCTGCAGGAGCAGCTGAAGCTCCCCGTGAAGGCTTTACCCGAGGAAGTAAAGAGAAAGGTAGGGGTGGGGCTGGGTGCTCCTCTGGGCACCCCCAGGTCGGTTTCAGACGCAGTTCCTCTCCTTACAGCTGTGCTTCGCGCTGAGCCTCCTGGGAAACCCATCGGTGGTGCTTCTGGACGAGCCGTCCACGGGGATGGACCCCGAGGGGCAGCTGCAGATGTGGTAAGAAGTCGTATCAAGTGTCAGAGTCAATTGTATAAGTCTAGAGTGATTGCTCATTTATTTTTTACATTTGCCCCATTAACCTTTGAGTCTTATACCCTCTATTATTTAATTCAGTGAAGCTCAATGTGGTGCTCAAAAGTCCTCAAAGAAGGAAAAATAAACGTTTTAAGAATCAATTGGACTTTTGAATGTATTAGGTTGAATTTTCTTTCTCTTACTACTCTTCCTCCTGACTCTTTCTTCTATTTTATTTTTCAGTTATTGAAAATCCTACAGTGTGGTGTTTCTCTATACTTAAACTTTTTTAAACAAGCATTATTTTACTCACTCTTTCCTAATCTTCTACTTTTGATTCTGTGAAACCTATTGATGTGGTAATATAACTACATAGCATACAATTTTTCTTCTTTCTCTCTAGAGCAAAGATTTCTTTTTCTTGTAACCTAATCTAAGGTTTTCTGTTTAGGCTTCATACTCATTCTCATAAATCTATTTTCCCAAATTACTTTCTAAGTGCAAACAATCCCTTATTTTATCTTTAGGCAGGCAATTCGGGCCATTGTTAGAAACACGGAGAGAGGTGCCCTTCTGGCCACCCATTACATGGCAGAGGCCGAGGCCGTGTGTGACCGCGTGGCCATCCTGGTGTCTGGAAGGCTGAGGTGAGTGTCTATCGAGAGCCAGCACTTGACCCCCAAGTTCTTGAAGAGAGAGCTTCTGTTCATTCTGAACAGCTGATGCCTTTCAGCTCCCTGATCTATGATCGAACATCTTCCTCTGCCTCTGTACTTGTGGAAGAAATTAAGAAGATATGTATTTTTTCTTTCATTAGTTCTTTCTCGTCCCTGAACTAGGTGTATTGGCTCTATTCAACATCTGAAAAGCAAGTTTGGTAAAGATTATTTACTAGAAGTAAAAGTGAAGGAACCCACTCAGATGGAGCTTCTTCACACACACATTCTGAAGGTTTTTCCACAGGCTGCCCGGCAGGAAAGGTAAAGGACATTTTTGGCTTGAGTGACAGGTATAAGAACGTTCCAGCATACATCACTTAGTGTTGTTCATGTCTGGACAGGAAGAGAAAGCCTCAGCTGCTTGTTTATTACAAAACAAATTGTTTGGGGGTCACGAGGAAGTACAAAAGAAAGACAGCAATTGAAAAGTTATTTTCAGTGAGTCTTTCATACTGAGAAAATGTGGATAGATTGTGTGTATGTATGTAAATGGTGGAATGACTTAGAAGTTAGGAAAAAAAGTACAGACAAACTTAACCATTGATTTAATGATTTTTTTAAACAGACAGTGGAATTTCTATATGAATTTATAGCATTTTACCAAATATAAAATTACACCAAGAGCTCAAACAGACTCAGATGCTTCAGAAAGATGAACTCTTTCCTAAATAAATTCATTATAAATCATTTGATCCTCCCTATGGTTCTTTTAAAATTATATGAAGTCAGTTATGAGTTAAAAGCAAGGATAACCAAACCCATGTGAATAGCAGAATGAGGTTGAATTTAATTGGAAGATACATAAAGTTTTCTCATATACTTCTTCTACTCAGTAAATAGACAAGGTTCTTATGGTACTTGCGGTCTTTTTGAGGCAAGGATATTAAACAATTGAAGATCCAAATGAATGAAGAAGTGACATTAGGTAGGACTTTAAGACTGAGCAGGATTTGGCCAGTTGAAGAATGGGATGAGTCACTCTTGTGAGAAAACATCATGTGTAAAGAACTTAAGTCAAGAATAAACTCTATACATGCAAAGGATGGAAAGAAAGCTCACAGAGTTGATATAAAGATGCATCCAAGTGAAGATGCCATTATACAAAGATGTGGGCCTATGGCTCAGAAGAAAAGAGACGAGTCATTGAGAGGTATAGTCTGTCAGTAAACAAAGTGGAACATCTTAAACATATAGATACAAGGCCATTAGGCCATTAAGCTAGGAGAATGGATGAGGTCAAAAAGAGGGACGGAAAGGGGAGAGGGTCTAGGATGGACCCCACGAACCCTCAGTACTGAGAGTAGATTGAGGAAGAAAAGCCAGTGGGGGAAACTGCCATCACCACAGCAACAGCCATAACAACAAATACAAAATAGTGAAGCATGTCTGGAACAGCCCTGTCCAAGAGAGTTTCTGTGGTGAGGGAAATGTCCTGTATATGTGCTGTCCAGTATAGCAGCCAATACCTGCATGTAGCTACTGAGCACTTCAAATTTTGAATTTTACTTACTTTAGCTAATTTAAATTTAAATAGCCACGTGTACCTAGTAGCTAACATATAAAACAGAGCAGTTCTAGAAAGTTAAAAGGAAAATCATAAAAGTGTGATTGTCTCAGAAGCTGAGAGAGAGTGTCTTAAGGAGGATGTGTGCATTTTTATTTAATGCTTTTGAGTAGTCTAGAAAATAAGGACTGAAGAATGTTTATTGAATTGTGCAGATGGAGGTCCTGGATGAACTTATTTAGGGGCGGCTAGAGGTCAGGGAATAACTTTTTTTAAACAGGCGACAGTTCAACCAGTTTTAATTTTTATAAGAGAAGTTGAAAGTTAAATGCAGAGAAGAAAATTTGATAAAACACTTCCAGGGAGCATTGAAAGATTGGCTTTCAAGAGTAAGAAATATAACATAAAAGGTATCACAGGCTGATTGTGAAAGAGTATCGGAGCTATTTTTAAGAATTTATCTTTAAATTTATCAGAAAGAATTTATCTTGATCATTAAATTAGGAGCAACTAGATTTTTGTTGGTATCAAATTTTTCTGAATAAAGATAAATTACTTGGCTCATATTCATGCTTTATCAAATTACGCTACCTTTTTATTGAAGAAGACGTCAAAAAGTTCTTCGATTGTTTTAGTTACCACTTCCTTCTCAGTCTTACACTGAAACACAGTAAATCTCACTCTTCACTCACCCTAGGTTTTCCTCCGTGATGGCGTATAAATTGCCTGTGAAAGATGTTCGCCCTTTATCGCAGGCCTTTTCCAAATTAGAGGCAGGTAAGTTTAGATGCTCTTAGGACTTTATGTATTGTGTACGTTTTTTATAACTTCAAGCAGAAAAGTTATATAACTAGTCAAACCTTGGACAGTTTCCTAGAATAGGCTTAAGAATCCTGAAGGGAAGGAATCGGTGGCCTTAGGCTTGGGTTTGCTCCCCCTGATTCTCCCTCTGCTCACAAGGAAGCCCAGATAAATAAAATAAGTCAGAATGTTCTGTCCTGGTTCCAGTGCATATTACTGAAGGACAACTTTCTGCATGATATCCCAAAGAACAGCAAGTTGAGCTTCTAATATCTCCATATTCATCAAAGTCAGAGGCACGAGGAGCAAGAATATGGAGCCAATGATTGAATCTAACTGCGCCGACACTCTCTCTTACCCCACTGATCTGGTTGTTTATACTAGTGACATGACTACATTGGAAAATACACAGGGATGAAATGTGGCAAGTCAGGATTGGAGAGGGGTTTCTGAACTAGTTCCAGAGACACTGACCAGAGCTCACACTGGGTATTTATGAGGCTATGACGTGAAAGAAACATGGGATTCATTGAAAAGGAACCAGCATAGAGTATACTCGTCGCCATGGACTCATAAAGTAATACTCCACAGTTGATTTGGAGTCCAAAATATGCATATGCAAAGAATCAAAAGGCTAAATACTGAAACAGGACACAAGGAACCACTTAAAGAGGTTTACAGGTAATTTGTACATTAATGCATTGCTATTTTTTTTAAGTAATCACAGTTTTTTTACTTTTCCAACATGTGTTTTTCCACATTTTGCAGAAAATAGAATGTATTCAGGCAATTGCTCTGAAACAAATGTCAAAAAAGTAAGAATCATATAAAGCACATTGTTGCAGAATATTCTGTGCCCTCCGTGGAAACATGATATTTTGTTTGAAATGACTAGATTCTGTAGAAAATCCATTTTCTCCAGGGTCCCCAATGCAGAATCCCTCTAGGCGTTGTGCCATCCTTTCCAATATGTTTAGTAAAGAACTTTATGTGGAGAGAAGATGGTGGAGGAAAGACAGCCTCTTCAGCAAGTGATGTTAGGAAAGCTGGACAGCTGCGTGTAAACCATTGAAGTTAGAGCACTCCCTCACACCATACACAAAAATAAACTCAAAATGCCTTAAAGACTTAAACATAAGACACTACAAACCTCCTAGAAGAAAACACTGGCGAAACATCCTCTGACATGAATCTTAGCAATGTTCTCCTAGGCATTCTACCAAGGCAATAGAAATAAAAGCAAAAATAAACAAATGGAACCTAATTAAACTTACAAGCTTTTACACAGCAGAGGAAACTATGAAACAAAGGAAGCACAGCCTACAGAGAAAATGTTTGCAAATGATGGGACTGACAACGGCTTAATTTCCAGAATAAACAAACAGCTATACAACTCAATAACAAACAAAAAACCCTAGTCAAAAAAATGGAACAAGATTACACTGTA